CAGTTGGGATAGTCCCTTACTTTGCTGCCCTCGGTTATCCATGCGCCCCCCACACAAACCCTGGGGATCACGTAATCAGCCTTATAAACGTGGACTTTCATTCCACATCTCAAGTCGATATTGGCGACAAACCATCCCCTGCCGCATCTGCACAAGATCGTCTCTCTCACATTGCAGAGGCATGGCGCACCCGAAATCCATCCGATTCAAGGAACGATCACATCGTCCATCCCAACAGTAACGGTGCTGGGATCGCTGACAATACCATTACCAGTCCTTTGCCCCCAAATCTCTCTCCAGAGGGTCTCCCTCGGCTCATTAGTGATCCTTCGGCGATTTGGGCTGCCCGAGACCGCCATCGGCTGAGCGATGAAGTCAACAGGATCCGACTCCTTATTCAGCGTGCCTTCTTGAACTATCGGAGGAATCTCCTGGCCTATGGGATCCGTATTGCTATGTATGGTATGTTCGGGAATCGTGCCTTGAGCACTTCGTTCCTTGACACTCTCCTCTTCCCTTGACGGGCCTCTTCCGTCCCGGGGTTAGGTGGGGTTGGTGTGCTCCTGGCGACGGTATGGATACATTTAGGGACGGAAGATACCAAAATTAATGACCGGCTCTCGGTATGTCTCATCCTGAGCTATTGATTTAGACCCGTGCGTCCCATTCATCTGCAATTCAGGTACATTTTTATTCTGTTGCTTTCCTCGGCTTTATGAGGTTCGTGTCCCTGACTTGGGCATTAGAACGAACATTCAACCATACATCTGTTAGTATTGCTGGTATTCCCTCCTTCCTCGAAGAGCGTGCGGTATTCGTTCGAGAGTATGTCCCCCAGTTTATTGGTTATTTCAAGCATTAAGAAACTTGCGACAGGCGTGGAAATGGGCTCTATGGTCCAGGGGCCTACGCCATCGCTAGTTCTATAGTATGTATTCCCTTCCTTTTCATATGTGCCTTGCTCTTTGCTGTTATTTGGTACGCTTCGTTTTCTCCTCAGTCCTCGCATCTCATCTAATTATTCCTTGACCCCAGTTATTGGGCTATCGGACTGCATCCTGGACCGATCGCCTTCTTCCGTTTCTTATCTTTCCTCTTCATCGCGGTCTATATTGCAGAGGCCCAGTCGGTCCTGGTGGCTGCTGTAATCCCAATATTCGTTGCAGCACTCGCCATTGCAAGTTTCCTCAACGGGTTCTGGATGGTGCGTCCGAGTTTCGGTTTGTGCTCCCTCGACCACAATTCTCTGATGTTGTCTCACTTCAGTGTGTGCAAGGATACTTCATCCGAGCCGTAAATCTTCCCCGTTTCTGGTACTATTGCGCTCATTTCATCGATTATCAGGCCAGTTTCCCCAATAACGTCACACGTCTGACGTCTCTTGGCATACTCACGCATTTATTTTTCGAACCAGACTTTTGCGTTTAATTTGCTCGTGAGGAACGATCTCGCCGGTCTAAAATTCCATTGTACAACGCTAGTGGATGGCACCTGCCATTGCACTGTGTCGAGCTCCCTCGTTGCTTCCGGACAATGCGCCCTTACGGGCGAGGATGTTCTTAAAGTGCGCGAGTTTTGAGGCGTGGAACCCTGATGTTCGCAATAATAATGTTTTCTTCTTAGGATTTACAAATTAACGGGTTTAGTATCGGGCTGTACGCTGCCATACTGCTCATAATTGCAGTGATATATCGTGTTCTATTCTACGTGGCTTTGGTCTTCCGCAAGAGATGAAATCTCTGGGGCGGTGACTTAGGCACTTGCTTTATTCGTTTGTTAGCGATTTAAATCGCTCGTTAGTTGGACATCCCCTCTATCTAGTTCGCTGGTATGTTCGCATTGGCTGCCTAATAAATAGTGTCTTCGGCTGTTCCGGTGTTGAGTCGTATAAATTGAAGCCAAAAAAAGTTATTGTCTCTACACACACTGCTGAGGTGAAAAATCGCTGTCGCAGCCACACGAACTAAAGGAAAGCTCTCAAAGCTGTCTCCTTCGCCGTACCAGCTGTGGGGAAAGTCCCCGGAGTCCCCGAGGAGGGACTTCAGATGACACACTTGAACAGTATCCTTATACCGTCGACAGTCCCGTCCGCCCCTGCTCAGCACCCGGAGAGCGGTCGTCCCTAGGCACGGCGGCATGGTGCCCTTTTTTTGAGCCATTGTTTATGGGAGTTGATGATCGGGACGGGTGTGCTGTTTTTGTCGTGGTCTTCGTTGATCATGGGCCCTGGTGAACTTGTTTTTTTATCGTTATCCCATCCCTTTTCGACCCTCTTCATGCCTGCAACCCCTCTCCTGCCTCGTTTGTGTCTTCGTCCAACCTCGTTGGCTCCCCTTGCGCGATGTTCCTCCCTTCATGGGATCTTACCATGCCCACAACGTGGTGAAAACGCACGAAGGACAGTCGACATGCATGTGTGCTGCCTGGCGAAGATACAGAGCCAGGATGCCGCAGTGTGTTGTGCCCTGTTCGTCGTGCGCGAAAGTGTGGTGTAGACGTCCACACGCTGCGAAGGGGTGGGGAATCATTTAATCGTGTTTTTTCGGAGGCCGGGCGATCCAGGGTGTAGTGGGCTCGTTGCAAGCACTCTTTTTTCGTTGCTCATAGCTTCTAGTTATGCGATTGTTCTGTTTCGCGTATGGGTGCCTTTTCTGGCCACTGCACACGAACGGATAACCCAACGGGGCTTACTCTCGCCTCAGCGGTGTTGTCGGTCAAATTTTTCATATATCGTTTTCTTCGTGAAAACTTGTTGGTCTCTCTCTCTCGGCATTTGCTTGCGTATCCGTTGTGTTGGGTGAGTCCCAATTCTTTCTTTTCACTACATTCCCTATGATGTTTTCCGAATTTCTTCGAGGAGTTATCCTCTCTGGGAGATGCTCCACAAAACCTATCTTTGACATTTTATTCCTCTGATGGGATCTCGTTTGCTTTTCCTTTTTTCCGCTGATGGTTCTCGTCGATGATGCATGCTAATTATTGGACGTCCTTTCAATAGGTTTCGCGAATTTTGTCCTCGGGCTCTCTGTAATTGATGACATTGTAATTGCGTATGATAGGAATGATAATTATGCTGTGACCGGATACCTCGCAGCAATGCCCTCGCCTTGCCCTTTTTCTTCTTCGAGGGCTAAATATGCGTGGAGGGCTCGACGTGACGCCAGTGCCACGAACCATAATCTCCTGATGCCTCAATCCCCAAAGCACAATGATGCGCAGAGGGAGATACAATTGCGTGACAACATGTATCGTCTGAATCGCTCTTTTTCTTCACAAGCTGGTTCGCTGGCGGGCCCATTCCTTCCACCTATTGTACATATGTCTTATGTAATGAATCCGGCACTTGCCAGGTGTCGTACGATTACACATATGACGAGTTTTCTGGTGGCTTCTGAATGAGCGGCAACCACGATACGGTCTGTATACCCACATTTGAGACACATGCTTCAATGATACCTTTTCATCCGTAGGTAAAGGCCTATACTCTTTACGTATGTAGGCGGCACAAGCCGAATCCCGGGGCTGTGGTGACTCACCTTGCAGGCTTACAGCGTGAAGCTCTGCAATGGCGGGGTTCAAAGGCATCTCCAAATCATTCATCCCCTTTTGGGGATGGATTAGGGATTCTTCTGGGATGCAGACAATCTACCAGGTATGCCCACGGCTGGTTCTTTCCCGACGGCCTGTGCTTTATCTTCTCATCTAGGCCCCTACCGTTGGGAGTCCATTCCTGTTCCCGTTCGACATTCTCGCTATTCTGCTTAGATTTGTGGATTGGGAGACGCTGAGGGTGCTTGGTCGCGTTAATCGTGATCTGCATTATGAAACTAACAAATATCTGTGGCGTCGCGTCGGGCTAGACACTCCTATCGGCTGTCCGGACACCACCATCCTTGAATCTAAACTTGCGCTCATACTTCATGATCCCCGCCGTGCCAACTGTGTACGGGAGCTGGATATTGCAATAACGAGTCCAATCGCGGAACGTCCATTGTTCTTCGATGACGAGGGGAACATCATACACCGCATCCTACGTGCGCTTTTGCAACTTCCAAAACTACACACGCTTCACTTGTATGTCGTGAGTCATGGAAATTACCACAGACAACTCGTCAACGGATTGTCTGCTGGTATCTTCCCATTCCGCCTTATCTCCTTCGCTTCCAACATCGACGTTGAAGACGGTCTCGAACCCTTTCTCCGGAGCCAGCCTTCCATCGAAGAGTACGAGATTCTGTATAATTGGCGAATGTCGAATCGCATCCCGTTCTCGGGCAATTTCCTTCCATCGCTGCGTCGCGTCCGAGCGGGGAACGTGCACCGTGTAGCGGAACTCGTTTCAGGGCGAGCAGTGCATGCCATCAGTGTCGCGAGCGAACTGCGCCTAGAGGGCGTACCGCTGCTCGCCACGGCCATCCTCAGCTCCACCGTGGACGTTACGGAATTAGGCCTCGCGATCCGTCAGGGTATCCGCCAACACTTGGAGCTCCTTGTGCCCGCTGTTCCCAAGCTTCGTGTGCTCGAGGTGCTGTCCTCGTTGGAGGCCAATATGGTCCTCGAGGATGTCAAGGAGCTGGTGGGCGTGTTGGGAAGTTTTGAGCATCTCGAGATCATGAGGTGGTCGCCTAGAGAGTCTGCTGGTTTTTGGACTCGGCGGCCTGAATTCATGAGCGCCTGTGCATCAGCTTGTCATTCCCTGCATACTATCATTTTCGGCTCCTCAGATGAAACGGCTGAAAGGTACGTTCGTCAGTGGCCATCGGACGGTTGGCTCTTGGAGACAAAGACTGCATGATTGTTTGCTTCGTTGTTTTGTGTTGTTGTCCTTTCCCTCCGTTTTCGCTCGCACTTTGATTTAGCTCATTCACCGTTAATCCGGAACATTGTAGTTGCAGCAGTATCTGTATTTGGACGTTTCTTTTTTTCATAATACGTGGTTATGCGTGGCCGTGGCTTGACCAACGTGCTTACCAGTCTCCAGTATAAGAACGGAACATGTGCCTTCGATAGCTCAGTTGGTAGAGCGCAAGACTGTAATGGAAGCTTAATCTTGATGTCACCTGTTCGACCCAGGTTCGAAGGAAATACTTTTTCTCACGTTCGATTCGACGGAGCTGCTACTCATAGCGTGCTTCCGTACGTTTCTTTTACAGTACTTGGCGCTACCATCACTTTCCTGAGGGCTTCGTACGCTAACCGAGCGGTCACTTTTATCATTTCGGCCTGTCATCAGAAGGGCGGATTTCGGCTTAGAACCTCTGCAGTTGAGCCATGTGGCGAGCGGAGAACGAGTGAATGTGTTTCCCCGTGGGGTGTGAACGGAGGTGGAGTCCAGCAGGATAGAGAAAGAACGGAAGAATGAGCGTGGGTGCGAATTGCTGATTCCGAGTTGCGTCACCAATCGGTGTTTTTTTTTTTTTTTGGGACTCATATGGTCCTTCGCATTTCCTATTCCTACTGCAGATCAGCCGGGAAGTGCACATATTGTGAAATTGGACTTGTCATTAGCATACGTACTCGATACAATCGTGAATGGTACAATGGTGCTCCGAAGCAAATACAGTTGCAAGCAAAAAAAAAAAAACTAAGAAGTTTTTGCAACTTCCGCATCTCAATCTCTTATTGGGAGCGCAGGAAGCAGGAGGGTGAGGCTTTCATAATTCAGCCGGAGCCGTTCCGGTGAAGAGGTCAAAAGCCGGCAAGTATGTTTCCCCGTTACCTGCAGTGGTATGGAACGCTGTAGACGAGCCGCTGTTACTTGCACTCCTCGTATGACTGGTATGACTGTTGGGAGTATAGGTTGATGTTGTCATTGTTGATGCTCGGGCTGATGTTGTGGATGAGGTACTGTTGGTGTTAGGATCAAGAGCTGGTGATTCCGGTGATGGGTATTGGTGCTTCCTGGATACAGAGGCAGCATGTCGAGATGTGGGGGATGATTCGAATGATGCAGTAGGGGTAACGAGATGCGTAGGTGAGACAGAAGAGTCCTGAGAATGATGATGACGAGAGGTCTCGCGATGTTGAGAATGTAACTGGGCAGAATAGTGGAAATGCGAAAATTTAGAACGCTTGTGGGTGGCACCCGCTATAGTATCGACATTGAGGACTTCTTGGTGTGAACGCTGTCGTCGGCGGTCGGTCCGAGAGCTTGAACCAGTAGACTGGGCCACGGGAGACGACAATATTCCAGGAGAACCTCGAGAATAACTCTGGGGATATTGATGGAACGGTAGAGAGAGGTCATCGCGATGTCCACTGCCGCTGCTGCCAGACTGTGCCTGATATTGCGGGAGTGGTGCAGGAGATATCCCAGGACCAAACGGCAGTCGAGGTGCATTATTGTCTTGAAGTCTTTCCTTCTGTATTCCGCCTAACCGCTCCATCATTCCCGCCATGGTGCGGTGGCACCGCTCAGCAAGGGGCCAGGAGGAACTAATGTCCTTAAGTGCTTCAACACAGCTGAAGAGGTTGGACTGGGTGGCCAGCATCGTGGCTGACAGGTGTGACGTAGACGACAATTGAGAGTCTCGCAGAGAGTGAATCCCCGAGAGGTGAGCTCTGGCCGCTGTGAAGATCAAATATATGAGATGCGGGTTAGAACGGTCGTAACGCTGGACGGTGCGGTAGGACGATAACAAAACATTGAAAGCTGATGCTGCATCAAGAGATATTCGAATTGCGGGAATATTAGCGTTTGATCGACTAGATAACAAGAACTCAAAGATGAGCACGCAAAGGAACTGGTCTGTAAAAAGGACAAGAAATTCACATACAAAGGTCGATACAGTAGAATCAACGCAGCGTGATACAAGAGATTTACATCAAGAACGGGAAGCGGGGCCGGGTAATCGATGGATATCCGGAGGGCTGCAGGAAGACGAGCATGCCATGCATCTAGCTCTGCCTTGAGGCTATCGAGCTTCTCGAGCTTCTCTGCCTCCGTAGTGTTCCCGCAAAGATAAAGCTGGAAGTTTATGCGCGAGATGATAAGACATAACGAGGCCGTGTATGCAAAATAATGTGGCGTGGGTGTAGAATACGTTTCCAGGGAACCAGGGAGTCCTACGTCGGGTGGGGGAGGGGGGGATATCGGGATCTCTGAAGCCCATTGGGGGTCAAGGATGGAAGGGGGGCGCCCAAGCGGAAGTGATATCAAAAGGTCGACGATGCATACAACGCCCCATACTCGACGTCGCGTGTCTTTCACGTGGTCTGGAACACCGACCCATGTCGAAGAATTCAAATGAAGTCCGAGATCTTCACTCATTCGGACGACTATACCTAACAGGAAGCAATCAACGCCAATGTTCACTAAGGATGGTTATCGCAGTCACTAACCCATAAGGAGCCATGCCTGACTTTCCAACCCTCTTCCCTGGTCCCGCAGGACTAGGAATAAGACCGTCTGAATCGTCTCCAGGTCACTCGGTCTCCTGAGACTCTGATTCATGACATTCGACCGCGCTTGCTCATACCACATGTCTGCGGTGATCCTTGTGGGGTCGTCCACACCAGAGACGAACGCCGCTGAATCCTCCATACCCAAGTTCGGGGAGATGCAGGCGCAGTACGCGCAGAGAGCTAATATTAAATTATGGGATTTCGAGCTTCGGTTCAGGATAGAGGTGCGCGAAAGAAGTGGAAATAAAGGGTGGACATTTTGGAGGTAAACTTCAGCAAGGTGGTGCTGGACTTGAATGGGTGGAAGCTCGATCGATGTGGCAAGTGCAGGTGTGGAAGAAGAAAGTTGAGGTGCCGACGTGGTATGGATGTCAATGTCTTTGGGCTGAGCAACGTCCAGAGTGTAAGAAGCCTGGAGACGCCTAATACAGAATTCATCTGGTGCCGTTTCGACATAATGAGATTAAATGGCCTACCAGAAACTTGCGTCTGAGGCCCGATGATGCATCCCCGTGGCCGCCCCTTGATATCGTACGGTATCAAGCCCAGATGCGTCCGGGTCACCAGTATTAGACATCTTATGCCTGCCAGAACCCAGAGTCTGGTTACCTTTCGACTCCTTGGACGTCGGCAGCCACGTAGATTGATCCAACAATGAGGCGAGGTCGAAGCTGATCATATCATTCCTCGGGACAACCGGGATATTCAACCCGTTGGAGGAAGATAACTGAAGTGGGTTAAGGGCAAGCCTTGCCGATTGGGCATCATCAGTGAGGTGCGTCATCGCCGGCTCTTGGGACCATGGGAGGAGTGGGCCAGAAGATACCAGGGTGTCGGGCGACACTGAGTAGTCATCCTGGATAGATAGATGGAGGGGCTTGTATGGCATTTCGCCTTTATGACCTTCCTGATCGATACGATGTCGAGTGGATAAAGTCGGATTGGACGAAATTAAAGATGTGGATGGAAGGAGCAGACCGGGATGAGTTCCCGCTGAACTAGGACCTGTGCGCAATGGGCTCTCGACTTCTGGACGGGAGACAGGTGTGGCAAACTTTGCGCTGATAGAGTCAAGGAGTCGGGATACTGGGCTTTCTCTCCACTTGGCGTTCCAGGTATCCCATTTATGGATTGTACTATCAGCCTCAGGGCCTGCCTTTGACGACGAGACGACATTTGAGGCAGCCATAGTATCAGCATACTTTTGCAATGTGAATAACAGGGCAGGTTCGCATGCGATGACGAATCCGAGGAAAGCGTCAGCGATATGCAGGCGGACCTCAACATGCCTAAGATAGCCCAGGGGTGGACCTCGACGACGAGTCTGGCGGGAGTATGTGCATGCGAGTTGATTCTCTGCGCATGCGCCACACACTAGATGGGCGCCATCGCACTAGATAAGTACAATGATAAGAATGAGCACATCCATTCTCCTATTCAAGGGGGTACCTTTTGCCTTTTGAGTCGACAATTGTCGCATGCTGGGGAGAAGTGGTGCGTGAGCAATCAAAATCCTGTACAGGAAATTGTAGTATTTTGCGTACCTGTCGTGACTTTCTTCCCGCCACCGGTGGGACCGCCACCACCGCCACTACTGCCACCCTTTCCAGACCTTGTAGTAGTGTCAGATCGGGCCATCGACCGTCGTGAAAATGCTGGCGGCGTCACTAGTCCTATCAGGACTTCCCCGCGCCAGGATTCATTTACGAGTCCACGCGACCTACTCAATTTGACATCAGGTTAATCTTGTTTCCGGTAACAGAGGTAGACGGACCCAAACAAACCCAAACAGAACCCAAACATAACGTCACATCTGAGGCCTCCAGTTCCTCCCGTAATGCCTGTTCCTCAATCCTATTTCCATGGATCTCCACAACGACCTCTCCCTCGTCATTCGAAATATCGTTGAATACCTCTAGACTCTAGGGACCTTTGTCTCTGGTTCGCGTCACCGCATGTGAAAAGTCTTCTACAAGGAGAAAGCAGGTGTCACCAGGAAGTAATCTGTATGTCCGACTCCATTTTATACTCTTGGGGGAGGGTGGCGACAAGCAAATCGGTGATCTGGGAACAGCAGCAGCGGCAGCCTGGTACAGAAATGCCTCTCCAATGACGAGCATGGCATTTGCGCCAGGCGATCTAGATCTAGGATCGCATCAGCGTCGGCAACCATGAGGACGTATAATTGATACAACGGGCCCAGTAGCATCACCGCATTTCGCATACCACCTCCACGACGATATCACACGCTCTCAACAATTGACGATTATCCTCCATGAGCACCCGACTTATCCGAATGCCGTACGGCTGTGGAAACGAGCCAGGAGAGGATCGCATGGGGTTGCATCTATATGACTCGTAACCGTTCCCGTGTGAATGCGTTGAGGCCGGTCACGACACCCACCTATTCAGCGAAGCATCGGCGCGTTGGGAAAATGAGGATCATACAGGAGGAGATTCGAACATAAAACAAGGAGATGCGTTGGTGCGCCGGGCATCGACCCGAATAACGGCTCGATACCTAGTATCCTCGTCGCCGTCTTTGGACTCGTCAAAGAAACTCTCAAAACCACAACAGGGCAAGACAGGGATCTCTCTTCGTGGGAGGAGGGATAGCGTGCGAGAAGGCCACGGTAACGCCAACTTCTCTGGGGGACCGTCAAAATCAGGCATGAGCAT